GTGTGTGTGTGTGCGCTCATTTCATAGGCCAATTAACTGTGTTTGAGAGCCGCTGATGGTCCCCTGCAGAGCGAAACCCGAGCGACTGGATTTAGTGTCGAGGGTTTGATGTCACGATGACAGAACCAGCGCTCGGTCCAGATCCTCTGACCTCCATCAGCAGGACGTCATGTGACCTCACATGGAGAAATCACTAGTATATGCCTTAGAGATGCTTTGTACTGTTTTATAAAACGGTTAGTTCCAGTCCTTGATTCTGATTGGCCAACAGCTGTGTTTAATTTGCAATAAAGCACGGCTAAGAGCGCTTCACCCAACGGTTCTGTGTATCAGTGCGCGACACTCTTAGCAACATAAACAATCTATAATATAGTCTCAATACAGTTCCATGTGTTACATACTTCAGCAAAATATACGGTTTATTATTTATGTAATGAATTATGAGTGAAGGGTTTGCAGCCGTGATTCATTCACTATACAGCACGGCCTCTCCTACCTTATCTCGATCTATTATATTAAATATTGCATACTATTAATACTAAAATAAGTATTAAAAGTGTTGAAAGTGTCGAGCATTTTGGAAAGAAACTTAAGTGTATTTTTAGGATCGTTACGATTTTTTTGCACTGTGACATTTTCAAGCCAATGTAATGGGGGAAAATGATCAAATATTATTTCAATAGTTCATTATTTTAATATTTCAAAGTATTTATATATGATGGTAGTATTTGTCATTGCAAATTTAAATAAAAAGGATCTCAAATTAACTAATGATTAGTAAATATATAAATAATTGCATTGCTGTGTAATTATAATTAAATAAATGCCTGTTTAACTTTAATTAAAATGACAATGGAGAATGCAAATATGTATTTTTTATATATTTATCATCATGAGGATTTAGAGAGGAAATGTGGTTAGTTGTCATGAAACTGATTTCACGTTGCACTAAAAAAGATCCTAAAATGTCCTAAAATTATTTTATTTTAATGAGGATTTAGGGATGCTGTTTTAAAAGTGTTAAAAAGCTATATAAAATCATCAACACATTAATAGCAGTATATATTTTATTTCTTTTTTCCATTAGGCAATATAAAAAATAATGTTTACTATAATAAAGATTTAATATCAACGATCATGAAAGCCATATGTCTACAGCCACACTTTTAGAGCATGTTAATAATTCAAACATTAATTAATTTTATTATCAAAACATCAAATTAATGTTAATGTAAATAATGATTATTTAAATGTTTGTTATAATATGTTATCAAATTTGTTAAATTAGTTTGGAAGATTCTAATTAACTATGTTTCTATTTATTTTATTTGTGTGTGTGTGTGTGTGTGTGTGTGTGTGTGAGAATTTTGGGATATCACAGAAAAAAATACTGGATGGAAACACCAAGATTAGCATAAAATCTTTAAATGTGCTTTAAAAAAAAACATACGCACTCCATTAAGGTGTTTTTTTTTTTTTTTATCTGATAATAATATA